AGTCAGATGATATAACAATTGTAAATATATATGTACCTAACACTTGCACACACAGATATATATATAATATTATTAGAGCGAAAGAGAGAGATAGACCCCAATGCAATAACAGCTGGAGATTTCAACATCCTATTTTCAGTATCAGACAGATCATCCAGGGGGAAAAACAATAAAGAAACATTGGACTTAATCTGCATTATAGACCAACTGGACCTAACAGGTATTTACAGAAAATTTCATCCAGTGGCTGCAGAATAAACATTCTTCTTCCCAACACATGGATCATTCTCAAGGAGAGACCTTATGTTAGGTCACAAAACAAATCTTAAAACATTTTTTAAAATTGCAATCATATCAAGTATCTTCTCTGACCAAAATGGAATAATAGCAGAAATCAATAGCAAGGGCCGGGCACCCTGGCTCACGCCTGTAATCCCAGCACTTCGGGAGGCTGAGGCGGGTGGATCCTGAGGTCAAGAGATCGAGACCATCCTGGTCAACATGGTGAAACCCCGTCTCTACTAAAAATACAAAAAATTAGCTGGGCACGGTGGCGCATGCCTGTAATCCCAGCTACTCAGGAGGCTGAGGCAGGAGAATTGCCTGAACCCAGGAGGCAGAGGTTGCGGTGAGCTGAGATCGCGCCATTGCACTCCAACCTGGGTAACAAGAGCGAAAATCCATCTCAAAAAAAAAAAAAAAAAAGAAATCAATAGCAAAGGAATTTGATAACTATACAAACATACAGAAATTTAACAATGTGCTCCTGAATTACCAGTGAGTTAAAGAAGAAATTAAGAAGAAAGTTAAAAATGTTCTTGAAACAAATGAAAATGGAGATGCAGCACACCAAAAACTATGGGATACAGCAAAACCAGTCTAAGAGGAAATTTCATAGCTGTAAGTGCCTACACTAACAAAGAAGAAAACTTTCAAATAAACAGCCTAATGATGCATTTAAAAAAAATAGAAAAGGAAGAGCAATCCAAACCTGAAATTTGTAGAAGAAAAATAATAAACATCAGAATGAAATAAATGAAATTGAAATAAAAAACAATGCAAAAGAACAACAAAACAAAAAGTTGGTTTTTTGAAAAGATAAACAAAATTGACTTTTAGTGAGACTAAGAAAAAAGATAGGAGACAAGTAAACTCAGAGATGCAAAATGAGACATTATAACCAATACTGCAGAAATTCAAAAGATCTTTAAAGATTACTATGAGCAACTATATACTGATAAATTGGAAGACCTAGAAGAAATGAATAAATTCCTAGACACATACAACCTACACAGATTGAACCATGAAGTTTAAAAACTGAATAGACCAATAACAAATAAGAGTGAAGCTTTAATAAAAGTTCTCCCAGCAAGAAAAGGACAGGACTTAATGGCTTCAGTGCTGAATTTTAACAAACAATTAAAGAAGAACTAATACCAATCCTATTCAAACTATTCCAAAAGATAGAGAAGGGAATACTTCCAAACTCATTCAATGAGGCTAGAATTACCCTGATACCAAAACCAGACAAAGACACAAAACAGAAAACTACAGCCCAACATCCCTGATGAACATTGATGCAAAAATCCTCAACAAAATGCTAGCGAATCAAATGCAAGAACACATTAAAAAATTATTCATTATGACCAAGTCGGATTTATCCAAGGAGTGCAAGGATGGTTCAACATATGCAAAAAAATTAATGTGACACATCATATTAAGAGAATGAAGAAAAAAAACCATATGATCATTTCAACTGACACTGAAAAACATTTGATAACATTCAACATTCCTTCATAATAAAAACCCTCAATAACTGGGTATAGAAGGAACATACCTCAACACAGTAATAGCCATTTATGACAGACCCATTTAGTATCATACTGAATGGGGAAAAACAAAGCTTTCCTCTAAGATCTAGAAAAGATGAAGATGTCCATTTTCACCACTATTATTCAACATAGGAGGTCCTCACTAAAGTAATCAGACAAGAGAAAAAAATACCTCCAAACTGCATTCAGAATCTGTTCACTTCTCAATACCTGAACTTCTACCATCTTGGTCTCAGGCACCATCATCTCTCTGCCAAAATTATCACAACAGGTTTTAACTGCTCCCTGCTTCTTTGCTGACCTATACCTGTAGTCTGTTCTCTACATTGTGTTCCACCTGCCCTTCTGCCTCCATTTTCTACTTTTCTTCTCCTCTGTCACATCACTTCAACCACACTAACCCTTTTTCTGTTTTATAGGTTAGACACATACTCTGACCTCTGGATCTTGGAATTTAGCATTCCCTCAGCCTGAAATGCACTTTGCTCAGATACTTGTATGATTTACTGCCTCATTTCCTTCAGGCCTCTACTGAAATGTCACTGTGATGCCCTCTGATGACCTTTTAAAAATTTCAGCCCCAGGCTTGCCACCCTATTCACCTTCTCTGCTTTATTTTTTCCATAACATTTACTTCCACCTCATATTATAAATAGGTAGACAGATGAAAGATAATCTATATAAAGACAGATAGATAGATAGATGATAAATAGATAGATGAGATAGATAATTATCTTTTTTAAAAAATTATTACCTCCCCACACTAGAATATAAATTTCAAGAGGACAGAAATTTTTAATCTGTTTTGTTCACCTCATTGCCCAGAACAATGTCTAGACATAATAGGTATTAAAAAAAATTTTTCTGAGTTAATTAATTAAGGCAGCTGGGCAAGATGGCTCACACCTGTAATCCTAGCACTTTGGGAGGCCAAGCAGGTGGATCACTTGAGGCCAGCAGTTCAAGACCAGCCTGGCCAACATGATGAAACCTGTCTTTACTAAAAATAGAAAAATTAGCCAGATGTTGTGGCTCACACCTGTCGTCCCAGATACTCAGGAGGCTGAGGCACAAGAATTGCCTGGACCTGGGAGGCAGAGGTTGCAGTGAGCTGAGATCGCACCACTGCACTCCAGCCTGGGTGACACAGAGTCTCTCTCAAAAAAAATTTAAAGAAAAGAGAGAGAGACAGAATTAAGGCAAGACATTGAGACATCATTAGTGATGGAAAACATGAAGGGGCAACTGGGTTCCTTGAAATGAAGTGAATGGGAAATCCTTTTGAGAATATTCAGGAGGCCCTTGGAGATGAGGTTCTAGGGAATTCAGAGATAAGTCAATTCAATTCATAGTGGAAGTCATAAAAGAGTGCTTGCCTTTCAGAAACTGAACCACTGACATATACCATGATTAAAAAAGAAATGATTATCATACAATTAAATAAGAATAGAGAAAATGATTATGATAAATAACATTGTATTTTGTCAAAATTCACCTTGTCAAAACCAAGGTATCTTTGTAAGTAATCGTCGTGAGTTTGTTTGTTGAGATAGAGTCTAGCTCTATCACCCAGGCTGGAGTGCAATGGCACTATCCTGGCTCACTGCAACCTCCACCTCCCTTCAAGCAGTTCTCTATGCCTTAGCCTCCTGAGTAGCTGGGATTATAGATGCCTACCACTGTGCCCCACTAATCTTTGTATTTTTAGTAGAGATGGGTTTTTGCCATATTGGCCAGGCTGGTCTCAAACTCCTCACCTCAGGTGATCCACCCACCTCAGCCTCCCAAAGTGCTGGAATTACAGGCGTGCGCCACCATGCCCATCCAGTTTGTGTGGGTTTTTTTTTTTTTTTTTGGCGTTTGATTTTTTATTATTGTACTTTAAGGTCTGGGATACATGTGCAGAACCTGCAGGTTTATTACACAGGTATACATGTGTCATGGTGGTTGGCTGCACCCCATCAATCTGCCACCTACATTAGGCATTTCTCCTAAAGTATCCCTCCTCTAGCCCCTCCACCCCCTGACTGGCCCCAGTGTGTGATGTTCCCCTCCATGTGTCCATGTGTTCTCATTGTTCATCTCCCACTTATGAGTGAGAACATGCAGTGTTTGGTTTTCTGTTCCTGTGTTAGTTTGCTGAGAATGATGGTTTCCAGCTTCATCCATGTCCCTGCAAAGAACATGAACACATTTTTTATGGCTGTATTCAATGGTGTATATATGCCACATTTTCTTTGGCATATATATTGATGGGCTTGGGTTGGTTCCAAGTCTTTGTTATTGTGAACAGTGCCACAATAAACATACATGTGCATGTGTCTTTATAGTAGAATGGTTTATAATCCTTTGGGTATATACCCAGTAATGGGATTGCTGGGTCAAATGGTATTTCTGGTTCTAGATCCTTGAGGAATTGTCACACTGTCTTCCACAGTGGTTGAATCAATTTACACTTCCACCAACAGGGTAAAATCATTCCTATTTCTCCACATCTTCTCCAGCATCTGTTGTTTCCTTTTTAATGATCGCCATTCTAACTTGCAACGTGTGGTTTGGAGAACAGTTCCAAAAGAGGAATTCCTAAAACAATTTTAGTCATGTGTATTCAGAAAGAAGTATGTGAACTGACATGATTTTCTTAGGTGTATAAAGTATTGGTTTCCTTACATTAAAATTAATAGTGCTGCTTTCATTCATACTTATTATCTCTTTCGTCTGGACCTGAATTAAACCACTTACAATCCTGCCATATCACCTCTTAGGTTGCAATCAGCTTAAGGACTTTACTACATTAACCTCATCAGTTATCAGTGAGAAAGGAAAACTATTAATCTTAAACTGGCATGAGTCTGCTTTCCATTTACTCTTACAGTTTTCAAATCTCAGAGCCACACAGGGAAATATTTTTCTGTTCACTGGTGAGGAGTCAGAGACCAGAGATGTTCACACTGAATGTGATGATTTCTAAGCTACCTTCCAGCTCTAATTTCTGTGACTTCATAATTCATATTTACTTTCCCAGTAAATGTACCCATAGTAGATAAAGAATAAGCTATCCTGAAACTTAGAGTTGATCATGGATCTATGCAACGATCATTGACAATGTTTTCCCAGGTAAAACAAGTTGATGTTCACTAGTGAATTCTTCACAACTTATTTCTTTACCTGTTAGGATTATCACAGGGGATCCAGTTTACTTGAGGGTGTGGGATGTCCTCCAAGTATGGGTAGATAGATTCCCTGTTGAAGTTCCAGCCATAAAGAGCATCTTCTGGAGTCACAATAATACGTGCACCCTGTTAAAAATGCAGCTTAATAAAAAAGGGAGCTGAGGAACTGAGCGACTCAGTAACAACTATTTGGGCTTCCCTTGACATCCCTTAATTTTATTTTGTTTTCTATATTTTTATACTTTATTTTCTTTTCCAAGGCATTTAAATTTTCTTTTTTTCAGTGCACTGTCACTTCTTTTTCTTTTTATTTTATTTTCTTTATTTTTAATTTTAGATTCAAAGGGTACATATGCAGGTTAGTTGCATGGATATGTTACATAATGGTGAGGTTTGGGCTTCTAGTCAAGCATTTAAATTTTCTAATCCTGCCATTGTTGCTTCTTACTGCAGTTGTTAACTAAAATCCTAGCTCATCCTGGAACCAAGCCTCTCCTTGAAATTTGGCTGATGATCGTGCCTGCGTCTGGACTGATTTATAACTCAAATGCTCTGTTTATTTCCTCCTCTGTCCCAGCATTCTCCTGCACCATGCCCTGCAAATATGACTACAGCTTTTCAGAAAAAGAGGAGCCACATACTGGTTACTTGAATTGTGCCATGTCTACAAATACTGCCTGAGCTAACCTGGGCACTTTCCAATTGGAGGGTCACCAAATAGAGAGTCACTCTGTGACCTTTAAGGAAATAGTTGGACTAAGGGTGGAAAAAGAACATCAGAACTCCTGATAACTTTTAAAACATTAGTATATATAAGAATACAGGATAGGCATGTTAGCTTATGCCCGTAATCCCAGCACTTTGGGAGGCTGAGGTGCGTGGATCACCGGAGGTCAGGAGTTCAAGTCAGCCTGGGCAACATGGCAGAACTCCATCTCTTACATATTTAACTATGACTTTTATCACACTTCATATATCCCTGGTCTATACCTAATTGATTATTAGCTTTTAAAATTATATTCTTGTAAACCACAATTTATACTGTATGATTAACTTTAAACTGAAATCTTCACTCAACTCAAGGGCTCACAATGATTTACATATACTTTTATCTTGTAATTAGAGTGAAGTATGAAGTATATAATAAACGCTGCCAAGGAATTGACAACTTAAGTTTAATTGTTTTCAGATTATAAACTTATTCCAAAACCTGCAAACCCTTAATGGCACAAGAGTACATCAAGGCCACTAACACTCTAAGAATAGCACCTGATCCCTGACCCGTTTATCATTCATCCTCTGTCTGCACCAGAAAAGGGCAACAAAGATGTTGAATTTACGGCCAGTTCCTCAAAGGTCTACTACTTCTTGATGATGATCAAATTGTTCTTTCCTTAACTTGGTTCTTACTGATAAGTAAGTGTCCTTGCTCTAATTTTGAGAAGAAAGTAGAATTCTAACTCTAAAATAGTTTCTTGGTTACCCTAATACATATGTATTCTATGAGAAAGGATCCCCTCCTTTCTCATAGAATCCCATACACTGGAGAGATGGTAGAGATGGTACCTGCTCTGCTGCTGATGTGATCGCTCCTTCCAGAAGGTCCAGATTCCGATTCATTAATGCCAGCGCGTCCTCATGAGACACTGGTGTTAGGGTGATACTGGGCAATATCACTGCATGCTCATAAACAGCTGCAACAAAAGTATCCAGGCAGCTGGCTCTTGAGAGGTAGAAAAGCAGAACTGCTGCATGCGCCAGCCACGGAGAAGTAGTCATGCTGAAGTCCAATGACTGCTGAAAAACAGAGCACGTCCTGGTATTTACAGAGAGAAGACACGTGGTGTCCAGACCTTAGTGCCTTAAAAATAAATTACAGAAGTTAATTTTAAGAAAATTCTCCAGTCTGGGTAACAACAGCGAAACTCCGTCTCAAAAAAAAAAAAAGAAAAGAAAAAGAAAATTCTGTGATTTCACAGTATTGTCAGATAACAAAGGACCTTCTCTTATTGCATGGATTTGTGAGGATTAAATCAGGAAATGTATGTATATTAGCTTGCTAGGGCTGCCTAACAAAATACAACAAACTGGGTGGTGTAAAACATAAAAAATGTGTTGCCTCACAGTTCTGGAGGGTAGGAGTCCCAGATGAAGGTGTCAACAGGGTTGGTGTTTTTATGCCAACTAAGGGCAGAACGAAAAAGCCAAGTGAAGGTCATAAACCCAGGGCCACAGGCTCACTAAAAGACTGAGACAGACCCTAGGATCAGTTAGACTTAGTGCCCACTGTACTCCAGTATGACTTCATCTTAACTAATTAGATCAGAAATGACCCTGTTTCCAAAAAGACTACATTCTAAGATACTGGCAATTAGGACTTCAACATGTAAATTTTTTGCAATACATATGTTTTGGAATGTCAACACACAGAACTTCAAATGATTTTAAAATTTGTATTATTATTATTATTATTATTATTTTTTAGATGAAATCTTGCTCTGTTGCCCAGGCTGGAGTGCAATGGCATGATCTCAACTCACTGCAACCTCTACCTCCCTGGTTCAAGCTATTCTCCTGCCTCAGCCTCCTGAGTAGCTGGGAATGCAGTTGTGTACCACCATGCCCAGCTAATTTTTGTATTATTACTAGGGACGGGGTTTGTGTTAGGCCTCCGAGTCCAAGCCTGGACATTATAGTCTTGGTGACCTGCATGTACATCTCTGGATGGTCCCCAGAAGCCAGAAAGTCTGATGTAACCACAAGTAATCAGGTGGCCACAGAAAGAAGTGAAACAACTTGTTCCTGCCTCAACTAATTGCTCTCCCCCTGCAACCTGCAACCATTGTTCCTGCTCAGCCTTGCGGAATTTCCTCCCTGGACACTGGGTTTCTCAAGACCCCCCTCACCCCTGTAACTATGTAATTTACCACACCCTCCCCTCTGCTTGCAACTGATGCCCCCCACTCTTATGATCATGCCTGTTTGTAACAGATGACCCCTACCCTTGTGACCATGCATCCCACGATGCCCTTCCCCTCCCTAAAATAGATTACCAGCTTTAACTGACCACTTGCCCCAACCTATAAAACCAACTCCTATCCCACCGCCCTCTGCTGACTCTCTTTTTGGACTTCGCCTGCCCACACCAGGGTGAATAAACAGCCATGTTGCTCACACAAAGCCCACCTGGTGGTCTCTTTACACAAGCGATACATCTAACAGCTTCACCATATTGGCCAGGCTGGTCTTGAACTCCTGACCTTGTGATCCACCCGCCTTGGCCTCCCAAAGTGCTAGGATTACAGGTGTGAGTCTCTGCGCCTGGCCTTTATTATTATTTTCATTTGAATATTTCAGCTCTACACTTTGACTCACTTTAGTTTTCTCAAAATGGGGAAGCCACTACAAAGAGGAATACATAAGAGTTACTCATTTTCTATTGCTATATGACAAATTGTCCCCAGATTCAGCAGCTTCAAAAAGCAAAAATACATTATCTTTCACTTTCTGCGGGTCAGGAATCCAGGGACAGTTTAGCTGGTGCCTTTGGCCCAAGGTCTCTTTCATAAGGCTGCAATCAAGCAGCTGCCAGGGCTAGTTATTTCAAGGCTTGACTCCAGGAGTTATTTCAAATCTTGACTTCCAAGCTCCCAGCTCCCTCACGTGACTGGTGGCAGGGCTCAGGACCTCTTTTGTTGTTGCCCAAAGACATGAATTCCTAGCTATGCAGGCCTCACCATAGGATAGCCTGCATTACATTTTCTGGATTCCCTTAGAGCCAGAGAGCAAGAGAACCCACTAAGATAGAAGCCAGGAATGCTTTGTAATGTAATCAGGGAAAGGACACCTCATCACTTTTGTTGTATTCTATCCATTAAAGCAAATCAATCAATCGGTGTACCCTGCATTGTGGTAGGGGATTACACAAGGGCAGGAATGAGGCAGGATCATTAGGGACCATCTTCGAAGCTGCTTATCGCAGAGGCAACAGAGGACTATCAAGAATGAGCACTGTAAAGCAAGATCCAGAGAGAGGAGAGGGAAATTATATAAAATTGAAAAACTGAGGCCGGGCGTGGTGGCTTACACCTATAATCCCAGCACCTTGGGAGGCTGAGGCAGGTGGATCACGAGGTCAAGAGATCGAGACCATCCTGGTCAACAAGGTGAAACCCCATCTCTACTAAAAATACAAAAATTAGGCGGGCATGGTGGCGCACGCCTGTAGTCCCAGCTACACGGGAGGCTGAGGCAGGAGAATTGCCTGAACCCAGGAGGCGGAGGTTGCGGTGAGCCGAGATCGCGCCATTGCACTCCAGCCTGGGTAACAACAGCGAAACTCCATCTCAAAAAAATAAAATAAAATAAAATAAAAATAAAATTTAAAAACTGTTCATAGATTTTTATATTAAGTTGGCAAATTTTGTTTCAGTTGTGCATTATGTATAATATTTACAGAATTAGCGATTATGTTTTTACATTTTATTTTTAGGCTATTTGTCTTTGAATGGTATTTTTACAGTTCAATCTGCAAACAGATCCATCTAAGTTTTTACTTCAGTAACTATAATGCATTTATTCTGCAATTGCCAAGGTAACCCAGAGGTTGTGGTTGGCTGGTCCTCCTGAGTCTGCAGGAAGCACCAGCCCCTCTGACTGCTTGCTGACCTCTTACAGCCCTTCCATGCCCAGGTGGGTGGGAATATCACATGTTTCCCAGGAAGATGTCATCATTATGTAACAGTTTATAAAAGGAAGCACTCAAAAGTTAAAATTGAGATGAGTTGCTAAGAGGTTAAAAAATTACTTCTTTGATTTTCTTAGATTAAAACTATTAAATAACAACCTCCGATGGAGTTTCTCGTCCAACTCATAAAGAGCTTGGTGGTCATCTTTCCCATGCTCACAGCGAGAAAAAAGCTAAACAAGTGAATATCAACAATTTTTCTAAGATGTCTCGGAGAATTGAGATCACCGGACAAACTGCAGTCCCCAGAATTGGAGAGAGAGGAGAATGCAGAGGTAAGAGCCTATGGGAGAGAGTCCTCTGGGGTTGGTGCCAGTGTAGGAAGGTCACTTGAACTGTAATTGATGAATTGTTGGAGGCTCAGGGTGGACAACCTTTAAAGTTCTGGTCTGTTCTTAACAAAATCCTGCCCTCAAGGGAAAGCATTTTACCGAGCCTAACCTGCCTAGGGGAAGGAAAAACTCCAACCTCAGCCACTCTCATCTTTAACATGGGGAAAGGGAAAATCCCAGCTCTAGCTTGTTTTTATGCCAACTAAGGGCAGAAGAAAAAAGCCAAGTGCAGGTCATAAACTCAGGGGTACAGGCTCACTAAAAGGCTGAGACTGAATCATCAGACCAATAACCCTGTCCCTCCCCCAGCGTGTCACTGCCACATGAATCTAGCCTTTCTGCCTACCTAGCATGCACTAGCTGAGAACAAATCTTTAGATGAAATAATGCAGTTCAGCCGGGCGCAGTGGCTCACGCCTATAATCCCAGCACTTTGTGAGGCCGAGGAGGGCAGATCACCTGAGGACGGAAGTTCCAGACCAGCCTGGCCAACATGGTGAAACCCCATCTCTACTAAAAATACAAAAATTAGCTAGGCATGGTGGGCGGGGGGTGCCTGTAATCCCAGCTACTCGGGAGGCTGAGGCAGGAGCATCACTTGAACCTGGGAGGGAGAGGTTGCCATGAGTTGAGATCACGCCACTGCATTTCAGCCTGGTGACAGAGCGAGACTCCGTCTCAAAAAAAAAGAAAGAAAAAGAAATAGAAATAGTACAGTTCTTTCTTGCAGTAGGATGTCATCAGCAAGAGCTGGAACTGGGAGGTACCAACAGCCTCTACTGTAACTCCTAGGCTGGTTCTCTGGATCCTTAACCCTACTGTACAGCCTACCAAGCTCCCTAAATGCAGCCTTTCTGCTCATGCAGAGTAGAAACTGGGAAAATCGTCTTCAAGGAAATAACTTTGAGTGTAGACAGAAGCCCTAATTGATATCTCTACACTCCTCCAACCAAACTTCCATGGATGGAGCAGATTGCCTCTTGAAAGGAAAACATAACATTGCACTGTCCAGAATAGGGCAAGACACACAGTATTCTGGATTTTTCTAGAAGAGCAGTGATCACCTCAACCCAGGCAGCAGGCCCCCAAAGGAACTCAGAAGCAAGTCCTGCCCAGCTCACGCAGAGAGAACGAGAAGCAAGGGAAAAGGAGGGGAGAGGGACTGAGTGGAGTGGGCACTGCCTCTTGCACTTCACCTGGTGAACTCGGAAAAGTCATGTGCACAGCGTGTAAAAGTGTGCCCACAAACGCATGTGTGAAAAGATTGGCAGTTGGCCTCTGCCTTGCTACTCGACATATACACCCACATACTAATATATAGTGGCTACAACACCATGTCAATTCCCTTTTGGCATTAATCTGGTTTCAGAAAAAACTATCCGTTTTTCTTCTGCTCTCACACCACAATTAACACAAAAGACAGGTTTCCTCCCAAATTGGTGGGGATTTCTCCCCACTAGGAAGCAAGCAATCAACTCTGCAGCAGACACAGCTGGTTATCTTCCGGTTCAATCCAAACACTATTTATCCAAATATAGCATCAGATCCCACCGATTAAGGGCTGAGCCCCACAAAACCGCCCCCTTCTTCCCATCAGGAACAAGTCTGGGCCTCCAGATCTTCCGACCAAATGGCTCTGGGTTGGGGTTCCCACGATCCCTTCTTTGGGCTCAATTAATTTGCTAGAGTGGCTCACAGAACTCAGGGAAACACTTACGTTTAGTGGCTTACAATAAAGGATATTGCAAAAGACACAAATGAAGAGGTGCATAGAGCAAGGTATGGGGGAAGGACTGGGGAGCCTTGCATGCACCCCCTAGATGCACCACCCTCCAGGAGCCTCTGCGTGTTCAGCTGGAAGGAAACTCTCTGAACCCAGTCCTTTTGGGTTTTTATGGAAGCTTCATTACATAATCACAATTGACAACCATGTAGAAAGGTGATTGGACAAGAAGGGTATGATCCGATACTATCAGCCTGCAAGGGGAAACCCAGTAAAGCTTGTCTGTTCAGGTTTGTCTTGACATCTCTCTGTAGCATTCCTTACTCTAGGTATGGGGTGGGACTCTCTCTGGAATGAGGGTCTTTTGAGCCACAATCAGATTAGAGTCCTGCCTTAGGCAGGTGAAGTTCAGAGAGGGAGATTCTGTTTCATGAGACCTGCTCCTGAGGCCTAAACCCCCACGGTGTTATTTTTAAAAAAAGAATATAACAAAGGATTGGGAGTTAAAAACCAGGAACTATAATATCACAAATTGTTAATGATACAAGAATACATAAGTTTGCATAAGGGCTTAATCAAACTATTTTTTCATTGTGAATGTAGCATGCAAACATTATGGGCCCGCCCAGCTGCTCCCGCTTACAGCTCCCTCTCTCTCCAGGCGGAGGGAGGGGGTGATAGTTCAGTCCTTGGGCTCCTGTTCAACTCCGTGCTTGTAATTCCCACGGCTTGACTGGCAAAGATACCCTTTTCTGTGTATTGCTGAAGCTTTAAGGGAAGCGCTGTATCTGAACCGGAGTGCCAGAGGGGAGCCTCTGACTCACCTGTCAGATGCACTTTCTGGGTGAAGCAGTACCCCTCCCTGCCTCGGTCTCCCTCCCTGCCTCAGTCTCCCTCCCTGCCTCGGTCTGCCCTGAATGGGCTTTGCTCACCTTCGGACCAGACCCGTTGAAATGCACCTGGTACCTCGGTTGGAGCTAGGAGATCTCTGGATTTCTGCGTCTCTCTCGCTGGGTGTTGAGCGCTGGAGTTGTGTCTAATCGGCCATCTTGGATCTCTCCCGCCTGTAAACATTATGATATGGCTTGAACTTGCTCTCATGAAAGAAAAAAACTGTTTTGCTTACCAGTGAGTTACACTCTGCTGTATCAGAAATATTAATCAAAGCCATATGAGTCACCTCACTCTCCATAGAAAGATTTTACATGAGGAAGATACAGCTGTGAGAGCTGAGACTAGAGCAGAGTGCAACATTTATGTCAATGATAAACAAAATAAGTGTGGTTGGGGAAGGGAGAAGAGACAAAAGGTACAAAAATAATAATAATAAAAAGCGAACGTTATTAAAATGTCGGGGGAGGGGGGTAAAATAACTCCAAGAAGCACAGGTTTAGTAAGAGCTGACAAATGACCACGAGATTTCACTTTTTTCTTCCTTTCTTTTTTCTTTTAGACAAGGTCTCGCTCTGTTGCCCAGGCTGGAGTGCAGTGGTACAATCCTGGCTCACTGCAGCCTCTACCTCCTGGGCTCAAGTGATCCTCCCACCCCAGCCTACTGAGTAGCAGGGATCACAGGCGCATACCACCATACTTGGCTAATTTGTTGTTGTTGTCGTTTGTAGAGTCAAGGTTTCACCATATTGTCCAGCCTGGTCTCAAACTCCTTGGCTCAAGCCATCTGCCCATGTTGACCTTCCAAAGTGCTGAGATTACAGATGTGAATCATTGTGGCCTGGCCTGAGATTTGAGTTTAAAGTTCCTTTTGATAAAGAGAGGAGGCAGGAGTCAGCTTACATAAAAATGCGTGAGGTGAGAGGTGCTGAGGAAGCTGGGGCCATCAGCATGCATAACACAGGCTCCAGACAACTGGCTAGGAAAGAGAAGAAAGAAGTCCAGAAGGAACCAATGTGAGGTAATATAGAGGGACAGTGCCCACCTCCTGCACACTGAGGAATTGGGGGCACAAACCTACGATCCGAGTGTGATAACCCCTGAAGAGAGAATCCAGGAAAGTTGCAAGGGAGAAAGTAAGTGCATTTTCTGATGCCCAGAATTTCTCTGACTTCCTGGTATTCGACTGAATTATAATAGGTGGAAATAAACACCTAGGAAAAGTCCAGAAATGCAGCTGTCATACATTTTGTGGGCATAAGAGGTATCTCCTACGTAACCCAGAGAACCCACCTGCTCTTCAGTGTGTCTCTTTCCCAAGTTAATCAGTGACCAAACAGAAAAATGACTCAGAAAGCCAGGACAGTGAGCCAAAGGTAAATAGGGAAAAGGTGACACAGTGGCCCTGTCTAGGAAGCTCCCAACCAGGCACAGCCTGCAGTAAACCCCTGACAGCTGAGAGGGGCTCAACCAAGATTGGCTAGATTTTAGAACCGAATAATTTCAGAAGGAAATGAGATGTGCTCTGACGACATAATTTATTTCATTTTATTTATTTTTTTGAGATGGAGTTTCACTCTTCTTGCCTAGGCTGGAATGCAATGGTGCATTCTCGGCTCGCTGCAACCTCTGCCTCCTGGGTTTAGGTGATTCTCCTGTCCCAGCCTCCCAAGTAGCTGGGATTACAGGTGCCTGTCACCTCACCCAGCTAATTTTTGTATTTTTAATAGAGACAGGGTTGCACTATGTTGGCCAGGCTGGTCTCAATCTCCTGACCTCAGGTGATCCACGTGCCTCAGCCTCCCAGAGTGCTGGGATTAGATGCGTGAGCCACGGCACCTGACCAGCATAATTTATTTTTTTTAATTTCTGCTTTGGCCAGGTGAGGTTGCTCACGCCTATAATCCCAGCAATTTGGGAGGCCAAGGGAAGTAGATCACTTGAGGTCAGGAGTTCAACACCAGCCTAGCCAACATGGTGAAACCCCATCCCTACCAAAAATATAAAAAATTATCCGGGTGTGGTGGTGCAGGCCTGTAGCCCCAGCTACTCGGGAGGCTGAGGCAGGAGAATCACTTGAACCAGGAGGCAGAGGTTGCAGTGAGCCAAGATTATGTCACTGCACTCCAGCCTGGGCAACAGGGTGAGTCCATTTTTCTAAAAAAAAATCCATTTTAAGTATCGGATTTCCATACAAATAGAACGCGAGAGTCAAATAAGTTATGACTAAAGAGACAACACAAACATTTTAATTAGCTGAAAAGTTGTTCCTAGATACTTCAAAAGATGTCTTTATTCTTTTTTTCTTTTAAAGCAAGCAAAAGTTTTATTGGGGAAGTACAAGTACATTCCAAGAGAGAGGAGTGGGCTGACCCTGCTGGAAACATGCCGAAGACATTGTACCTTGTGATCTTCTATTGGCTCAGTTCTTTCTTTACGCAGTTCTCACCAAACTTTGGGGGATCCTCCCTTACTATGCTTAATGCACATGCACGGGAACCAGGGATCAATATGAATCCTATCTAATGGTGGCACTGCTTCTTACCACCACCCGGGGAAGGTATAGCAGTCAATTTTGTACCAATTGTGCCTGCTCAGCTCTCAGGAATTCCCCTTTTGCCTTTTTCCTTGCTTATCAGGATCTAGTTAACAGCATTCTGACAGTCCAACCATGGAGTGAGTACTGGGCATCCTAAGAGGTGTTCTGGGGGGTTCTTTCCAACATGAATACCTCCCCCTCATGCCTGCTCATATCTGACTTTCTACTCTTACATTTCTTCCTCAAGGAGTTGGGACCCAGACAAACATGTCCTTATTCTTTAACTTCCTATATCTTAATTGACTAGAATCTAATATTCTTTGCATATTCAAAGTTTATCCTATGTATTTACAAATGAAGTGTATTAGTCAGTGTTCTCCAGAGAAAGAGAACCAACAGGAGAGAGAGAGAGAAAGAGATTTATGATAAGGTATTGGCTCAGACAGTTATGAAACCTGAGAAGTCCCACAGTCTGGTCTGCCCTTGGAAGGCCTGAGAGGGGAAGAGTTGATGGTGTTGCTTCCAATGCAGGCTTGAAGGCCTGAGAACCAGGAGCCCTTGAAGGCAGGAGAAGATCTCTGTCCAGCTCAAATAGTCTGGCAGAAAATGAATTCGAACCTCCTCCTTCTTGTTTTTCGCTGCAGGCCATCAAGGGACTGGATGAAGCCCATCCACACTGGGAAGGACCATTTGCTTTACTCAGTCCCCCGAACCAAATGCTATTCTCTTCCTTAAAGCACCCTCACAGACACACCCAGAAACAATGGTTAACCAGCTATCTGGGCATCTCATGACCCAGTCAAATCAACATGTAAAATTAACCATCATATGATGTTAACAACACTTGCCTACATTAGCGTAGTTACTACAAAAGGATTTTTCTAGGCACTCCTCCTATTTAAATATAGGTTCCACTATACATATACATACACACATATAGTTAAACTTACATACATGGAGGGTGAATGCAGCTCCCACAAATGAACCCGTGCTATACAAAATATGTAAAATGTGAAATTTGCACACACATTAATTGCTTTTTAAATCTGCTTAAGTTTATTATATTTGTTTCCATAAGTTTATGATATCTCTTCTAAACAGACACTAACAGGTCTCCTTATTTTCTTCCTTTCTTAGCCAGGCTAATCCTGAAAGGGCCCTGCTGAAGGAGATCATTGTAACTTCCCAGGTCCCTGCCCTAAGCGTGGAGGGTCTTTCTCAAAGACTCTTCCATATAGAGCCATGACTAAAACAGGCAAAGGGGCTCCACTTCGGCTCCTCAGGCGTCCATCTCTTGAAATCTGGTCAAAGAAAGCAAAGGATTAACTTCAATGCAGAGTTCAGGTTACAACTTAGAGCCCTTCTCTGGCAAGATCACTCCTAAAGCAGTGTAGAATGGAAAAAGTCACGCAGGATTTGGTGTTGGAAGACCCAGGTTCATGTTTCAAGTCTGAAAGTAGAGAGACTCTGCGTGAAAATGCAGCAAACAAATGTCTTGCCCAGGTGGTCAAGTAAGACCATGTGTAAAAAAGTGTTCTTCAAACCCATGAAACACTATACCAAGTATTAGTTATTACTATAATTACAACAATTCCTCAAAATAGCATTCCCAAGAAATAAGCTGTAGATGCATTATTTAATGTGTTTAATTTGCACCTTCTGCACCATGCAAATGACATTATTGCCATTATCAGCAATAGATATTTTTATTTTAGTTTCTC